AAAAAAAAAAAAAAAAAAAAATGAGCCTGTGCACCCAACAGTGGAAAGAAAACATGCAAAACCTAGGAACGAGAACTGAGGCACAGGGAGAACTACCAACCATAATAGTAATCGCAGGAATCATAGTGGCAGCAACAGTAACCACAGTGTTTTACAGCTACTCTATACACCAGACTCGGGGTTTATTACCTAATATACGGTATTTTCCTGCATCTTCAAACAGTCCAACAAGAAAGTTATGTGCATTTCACAAATAAGGAAGCTGAGACGAGACTCATAAAGTAACAGACCTAATAAGTGTCAGGCCAAGCCTGGAACCATTCACTTACCATTACCCAGCTCAGTACAAGGGTATAAGTGCCTCTGTGCAGGCACAGCCTGCAGTAACACTGAATCAGTTGTAATGCCACTTTGAAAGTTGCTTTTACATAGAAGAATGGTAACTGAAGCTAACTTCTGAATTGACAGGCAGTAGTAACACAAGGGATGTCTAAATACAATTCAGGAATAGGCAAGTTGACAGGCAACTTGCTCATCGCCGTGCTATTTCTAGTCCGGACATCTGACTAAGTCAAGGGTACTCTTACTGCCCTCTCAATCGCACCTCTGCTTGCCTTGTGGATCAGCTTTTCCCAAGTTCTCCATCACCACTTACCTCAAAGAACTGCTATGTGGGTTAAATGAAGAAATAATGCGACTACTGAAGTTAGACTTGGTAAGGTTAACACGCGATTACCATGACATACAAAAAATGCATTGCTGGATCTGGAACTCAGAGGATGGGTAGGCACTGGAGACCCAAAACTGGAAGGTGGTTCAAGTTATCGAGGATGAGCATGACAGAGGACATTTAATAAGAAGAGTCTTCGTGCCGACCCACCAAGAAGTATCTGTATATGGTTGGCAGATTAGGGAAAAAGAAACTGACAAGACCTTAATTAAGTAGTCGGGGATATTAAGTCGGAAGGGGGCGGAAGTGTGTTAACTTCCACTAGTTTCAAGAACTAGTTTGCCATTCCCCCTCTCCCCCACGAACCCGGGACTCAAAACAAGGGCCTGGGAAGGCCCGGCGACCGGGGAGGCTATTTAACTTCCCGACGCCCGCGCCTCACGCTGTGCGGAGGACGGAGGGTCCAGCGCCGCTGCTCGGTCTTAGTGACACGGGGGGAAACCGCCCAAGAGCCAAAAGGAAGCTAGGTCGACGCGCGAAGGCGGGAAGCTGGTTCACCCCACCCCTGCCACGCTCTGCAGCCCCCGCCCGACCCGCGCCCACAGCCCCCTGCGCGGGCCCGCGCGGAAACGCGGGCCGGCACCTCCTCGCCGAACTGGCAGGCCCGTCCCCTCTCCGGGGCCCCTTCCACCTCCCTCCGTTGAAGAAAACGTAACCGACCCGAGGCCGGCCACCAGTCCGCGGAATTGAGCCATTACCTAGAGCTCCTCCGCGTCGCCATCACACCGGACACACGTCACTTCCCGCTCCCAGGCGCGGCCGTAAAAGGAAGGCGGGGCGTGACACTCAGTAAAAATTAGCTGTATTATACTTTTGGCTTATTTTAAATACTATCTCGTAGGACTAGATTCGAATAATTCTGTCCGTCTACATCTCGCCTGTCTGTCTAGGATGGCAACAAAAGAAAAGTCAGTATGAGCTTCCCGGTCAAACAGTCGCTGCCAGGACGAGCGGAAGTAAGCAGTTGCACAAGGTAGCGTGGGCTGGAGGCCGCGGTGTATGATGGGAAATGTAGTCCTTGGTAAGCGTCAGCGAGCGCCTCCCTTAAAGAGTTAAGGTCTGGGAAACGCACTGGGGCAATTCTACCACTGGAATGGACTCAATGGCAGTAAGTTTAGTGTTGGTGTTTTTGCAATAAGGTCCCCATGGGTTGGAATCAACTTTATGGATTTTTTACAACTTAAAAAAATAAACTGTTTTATTGGGATATAGTCCAAATATATAATTTTCAATAGTTCGATCATATCAAGAAGTGCTGTACAATAATTACAATAAGTTTTATAACATTTTATTTTTTCTTGTACTACTTGTTCTTAGCTCCCCTTTCCCCCCTAACCTCCCCTGCTATAGGTACTATTAATCTAGTTATCCACCCATCCTGAATTTCATATTCCAAAATACATACAAAACAAAGAGTCAAAAAAAAAAAAGCTAATAGCAATAGCAAAATAAGATAGAGGAAAACCTCAGTTGGAAAGAAAATAGAAAATATTAAAAACTAGGAAAAATTTGAAATAGTTCTAAGGGGAGATCACATGATAAGATGTTAGATTGTAACCTAGTTACATGTGTCATAATCCACTTTCCAATGTATTCTGTATGATGCAAGGGTGTTCACATCCCTGGTCTATGTTCAGGGGGATTCACCAGAGGTTTCATTTGTATGTATTTCCCCTTTACTTTTTTTTAACTGCTAGAACAAGTAGATGTGTCAAAAAGGGGATCAAATCAAATGCTACATTTTAATCTACAATAATCATCTGTACACTGCTCTCTGATAACCAGGCTATTCACATCTCTTGACTATGGTCACCAAAGGGATTAATCTATGTGTAGATCGTTCAAATGGATTTGGGCTTCCACTGTCATCCATAGTCTTCTGCAAATCAGGTGTTCATAATTTAAGCTCTGATACCTCCTTCAGATTTGAATTATATTATTGACAATCCTTGGATCACACAGGCTGGTGTTTTTCTTCCATGTGGACTTAGTTGACAACTCACTTAGGTGGCTGCTTGTTTGAAGACAAGCCTTTAAGACCCCAGATGCTAATTTTCTGATAGCTGAGCACCGTCTAGTTTCTTCCCACATTTTGCTGTAGTACCCATGTTTTCAGTGATCTCTTCATGAGGGTTTTGGCTACTTTTATTTATAACTATTTTCTGTGGTTGGCATAAAAATACCAATAGCCACTTTTCCATGTAAACCTTAACAGCAGACAACTAACATTCAGACTTTTCACAAAAGTTTGGCCAAGAGCCTATTAAGCTTTCCAAAATGCATATAAAGTTCAAGATTTCAAGTTCAAGTGAGAGAATTCATCAACCCAATCCACTGCCATCCAGCCAACTATATATAGGGTTTCCAAAACTAAATCTTTATGGGAGCAGATAACTTCATCTTTTTTCCGAAGGAAACTGGTGAGTTTGAACCACATAACTTGAGGTTGACAAACCAACACCTCCAAAGGGGAGAATCCAAAACAAAGCCGTACAGTCGATTCCAACATAGTGATTGTATGCAGGGTTTCCAAGGCTGTACATCTTTATGAGAACAGAAAGGTTCATCTTTCTCCTGTGGAGCAGCTGGTAGACTTGAAACACAGACCTTGTGGTTAGCAGTCCAACACTTATCTTAAATACTACTCAAAAAACCCTCCAAAATCATAGCCATTAAGTAGATTCCAATTCATACTGACCCTGTATGACAGGGTAGAACTGCCTCTGTGGGTTTCAAAGACTGTAACTCTTTACAGGAGTAGAAAGCCTCATCTTTCTCCTGTGGAGTGGCTGGTGGTTTTGAATTATTGACCTAGTGCCTAGCAGCCACCAGGACTCCTAGTGTTCATTAAATATGAGAGGATACAGAATAAAAAAAAAACAACAGGGTGAGTTAAAGAAGACAAGATAAATCTGAAAAGAAGACAATGCCTTCATTTTGGAAAGGTACCAGTTGGGACGATATCATGAAGCTAAGAAAGCTATCAGACATAGAAATAGTAGCCTCTCTGGATGGAGTTCGGGGATAAGGCAGCTGTAAAAGTGTTTCCTTGCGCTTTTCTAACCTTTCCAATAGTAACAAATACTGAAAGTCCCACTATGTATAACTGAGGATATTATCCTTCCCTAAAACAGCTACAAGGGGCACTTAGGGCACATCGGTTAATCTCACAGCTGCTAACCTAACGTCCGAATCCACCAACTGCTCTGGAGAAGGAAAATATGGCAGTCTGCTTCTGTAAATATTACAGACTTGGACATGCTAGGGTCTGTTCTACTTTGTGATAGAGCATTGCTCTGAGCAGGGACATGGGCTTATGTTTTGGTTTCAGACAATTACAATATATTCCCCAAAATTCAAGAAAGGAAGTTTGGTTTGCCCAAATACTTCTCCACCACACTTTTAGTATGCTTCTGCTATTATGCCATTTCAAAAGAAAGAAGAGTACAAGAGTGTCTTAGGTTGGGTTCTATGGAGAAACAGCCATTCAAATGAAAGGGAGCTTTCTTGGAAGTGGCCTGCTTCCAATATATGAGGATAATTTGGCAAAGCTCTAGATTCATTTGCTTCCATAGTCAGCAGTCTAACATCTTACCTTCTAATCTTGAGTGTTTTCGTCTCTGCAACTATGGGTGTCAGGAGAAGCCTCCAGACTGACATCTGACTCCTGGGCTTGGGATTTGCCAGCTTCTACAACTTCAGGAGCTATTTTCTTGAGATAAAATAACCGTTGGCAAACACATACCATAGAATACTAAGCAATATTAAAGAATAATGATTAATCTGGAAATGCTTCATGATGTGGATAGAATTAGAAAACATTTTGCTAAGTGAAATTAGTCAATCAGAAAAATATTGGTGAGATCACTGTTAAAATATTTTTTAAAACTTTAATGGAAAAGATATGTTTTCACACTAAAATACATGGATTTTGATGCCTGAAAACCAAAGGCTAGAGGGTAGACAGGTGTAAACTTGGAAAAAGGAGAAGACAGTATTCAAAAAGTAGGAGATGGGACAAAATATTGGGCACAGGGCAAACCATTGAGATATTTGATAAACTGTTGAGTACAAAGCTGATTATCCTCTCTGTAAGCTCTCACCTAATTTAAATGGAAAAAGTTAAAATTGCAGCAGTTCTCTGCCTTGTCCTATAGCATTATTATGAGTAAGGATCTTCTTAACAGCAATAGATAATCTTTAAGGCTGTAACTTATCTTTCTTTCTTTAAAAAAAATAATTTTATTGGGGCTCTTACAACTCTTATCACAATCCACCCATCCATCCATTGTATCAAGCACCTTTGTACATATGTTGCCATCATATTTTCAAAACATTTTCTTTCTACTTGAGCCCCTGGTATAAGCTCATTTTCCCCCTCCCCTCCTCTCTCCTTTATGAACTCTTGATAATTTATAAATTATTATTTTTTTCATGTCTTACATTGACTGCTGTCTTCCTCCACCCACTTTTCTGTTGTCTGTCTCCCAGGGAGGGGATTATATGTCAATTATTGTTGTTGGTTCCCCCTTTCTCCCCACACCTTCCCCTCCTGGTATCACTACTCTCATTATTATTGGTCCTGAGGGGTTTATCTGTCCTGGATTCCCTGTGTTGCAAGTAAGGCTGTAACTTTTTATGAAAGCAGTTGGTCATTTTAAGACACAAGCTGTTAAGTAAGTACTCAAGTGTCTGTTGTTCTTGTGAGGTGGGATCAAGTCAGTTTCCACTCATGGCAATCCCATTTATGACAGAAACATTTCCCAAATCATGCACCATCCTCACAACTGTTGCTTTTATTTGAGACCATTGTTAACCTTCACTGTGTCAATTCATCTGGTCAAGAGTCTTCCTCTTTGCCACTACCTTTCTACTTTACTAAGCATGATGTTCTTTTCCAAGGTCTGGTCTCTCCTGATAACGTGTCCAAAGTACATGAGAGAAAGCCTCACTATCCTTGCTTCTAAGGAGCATCTTGGCTTTACATCTCCCCAGACAGATTTTTGTTGTTGTTGTTCTGGCAGTCAATAGTACTTTCAAAATTCTCCACCAGCACCATAGTTCAAATTCATCGTTCTTCTTTGGTCTTCCTTATTCAGTGTAGAAGTGTCAAAAGCCACAGTATGACAAACCGATAGACAACTGATGGTCTCGAGTGCATAGTTAAAATCAATAGTCTTAATGTACCTATTACTATTTATCCACCACTTACGTCCACTTATTGTACTCCGGAGGCTTGTGTGTGGCTGTGGGTCAATGCTATGTCACATGCCAGCAGGGTGACCCAAAGTGAACAGATTGCAGCAGAGCTTCCTGACTGAGAACAGCGTAGGAAGAAGGAATAGACTTTCCACATATGAGCAATCAGTCACTGAAAACCTTCAAGTGCCCAACACCTAATAACTAAAGCAGAATATCATCAGCTGTGACTGCACGAAGATGAGCCCCTCAGGGCGGAAGTCACTCAAAACATGACGGACCGAGGACGAGCTGCCTTCTCAAAGTAGAGTGGACCGTAATGGCCCAGGTGGACTAAAGCCTGTTTCCTAATGGGGAAGGACTCAAAATGAGAAGAAACCTCTGCAAACAGCTATTAATAATTTGAACTTTGAATGTATGAGGTATGAATCTAGGAAAATTGGAACTCATCGAAAAGAAAACAAAAGTTGATATTCCAGGTGATAGTGAGCCAAAATGGACTGTCATTGCCATTTTGAATCAGAAAATCATATGGTTTACTATGATGCGTAGAATGACAGATTAAGGAGGAATGGCATGTCATTCATCACCAAAAAAAAAAAAAAAGGACATTTCAAGATCTATCTTGAAGTACAATGA